ATATGAAGTAAAAGAATTATAAGTGACACTTAAAAATACTCTTTAACCAAATAAACAAATGTTTCAGTTCTATATATGTCTCTGTGTTATAAATATATAAATCAGCAACACGTATTTTGTAGGCAATTAAAATAGTGTCATATGAGAGAATAGGGGACCTGGGAGCATTTTTTTGTGGGTTGATACCTAAGATATGACTACATTACCAAAAAGTGCCTGTCCCTAGTAATGGGAAAGAAAGCATTCCAGATACAAGGAACAACAGGACAAAACTTGTAAGGTAGCAATAAATTCAACATGTTCAAAACTCAGAAAGAAAGCCAGAGTGGCTGCAGGAGAGTGGCTCAGAAAGAAAGCCAGAGTGGCTGCAGGCTAAACAAAGGAGGAGAGGAGTGAGGACAAAGCTGGGAGAATTAAACAAGTATCAGCTCACCACGGCTTTTGGATGCCAGGTTAGGAAAAAGAAGAGGAAAATAAGTAGAGAAGAAGATAAGGGGAGAAAGGAAAGTTGGGAAAAGATGAACAAGTGGAAAGAAGAAAAGGATAGTGGTAGGGGAGGCTAAAGGGAAACAAATGGTATTTTTTGAACAGTGGAAAAAATATTGCAATTAGAAAACATAGCATCATTTAAAGAGATAAAGCTTTCATGAAGCAAAGTAGAAAATATGTCACCACAATTCAGAGAGAACACAAAGGCAGCTGGCATAAGTGTCCTTGGCCTTGACGCAGACGCCACTGCTCTCCACAGCAGTGATTCTTCTTGGGCTGAGGAGGACAATGCCAGCAGCTAGAAGAGGATTGTGCATGCTCTCCTTTCTTTTTCTTTTTTTTTTTTTTCTTTTTTTTTTTTTCTGTTTTTTTGTATTTAGTACAGGGTGAACAGGGTCTCACTGCGTAGGTCGGACTCATAGTGATCCTCCAGTTTACCTCCCAAGTGATGGGATTACAGGTGCACGCCATCATGCCTGGTCTTAATGGTTGTCTCAGCGCGCCCCGGGGGTGAGGCCAACATGGCAGGTACGGGAATTCCACTCCTGGCCCCTGCATCTGCCCAAGTGGGCGCTCTAATCTGCTGAGCTATTTGGATGGCCCTCAAGCTCTCCCTTGTGACACTCATTTTAAATCACGTTAAGATTTTGGTTAAAGTAAAATTGTTGATTATTTTACTTAGATTTTCTTGACAGTTTTAGTGCAGAAACTGCATGGAGGCTGAAAAGGAAACTGTTATTAAAATGTTAGGTCTCGAGTCATGAAAGGATGGAAGAAATATCCTCGAGGCTTACTAGAAAACGAAACCATTTCAGACCAGGGGATAAAAGAAGGGATTTGAATGCAAGGCCAAGGCTGAATTATGCCCAGGCCAGGAGGAGCTGTGTTTGAGAGTTCCTCTTTGTGGTATGTTCCAGAGATTTCCACCCTGTGGAATGTTCTACGTGCCACCCTTCAGTTTATCTGCCATAAGCAGCTTGTAGTTTCTACCCCAAGTTTAGCGATGTGTTTTTCCTCTCTTAGCTACTTGGAAACTCTAAACTCCTCTTCCATAATTAAGAGATATATTACTTCATCTTTCTTAATATCTTTATTGCTAAACACACTACTCCCAGAGGGTTTTTTTTTTTACTTTATAGTCATAAGTTATACGCACATACCCACACATTCTAAATAGAAAAAAAAATTAAACTCATACAATTAAACAAGAGTCATTAAGCTAGAACATCTTTTCTTTGTGAATAGAGGATAACTAACATCAAGCAGGAGTAGTTACTAAAGTCCCACAGAAGTTAAACGTATATACCCATACAACAGAAGTGATTTGGAGGAAAACTTGCTTATTTTCCAGTTCACTTATTTTGTAAATTATTAATGAAATAATTCTTAGTCACAAAATGTGGAGTTGAGATGCACAATTCATCTCTGTCAAAATATAAAAATTCACTTTTACCACTTACTATGTTTATCTGTTAGTTACCCTTATCATTATACCTTATCTCTTTCTTTCTAAGGGCAGCAGGTTGCTTTCTTATTTTATGAGTAAGTTAATGAATGAATAAAGTCCCTGAAATTTCTGTAGCTCAGTTTTTTAAGACATGAAGAAATTATGTTTTTAGCAGCAATGTGTCATGATGCATTGACTATTGGTCTACTTTACAGTTGAACTATGTAGGCCTGTTGAGTTTTAATGACAGCTAAAGGAAAGAAAGCACAGATTACATTTTGAAAGAACTAACAAGCCATTCTGTTTTTTCTCTCTATTCCTTTTGCTATTGGAACAGTACAAAGATATGGACAATTTCACTGGTACATAAATCAACAGTCATATTGTACTTGGCAACAAAATGTATTTTTGCACTTTAATTTGAATGAACAGTTGTCTAGTTCTGGTAATCAAAAACAAAAAGATGAAGTTACAGTGACAATATCTGATTCAGGATTTTCTCATCTTGTGTTCCTACACTTAATATATACAGAATAACATGGTTCTGGATCTGTCTCACTTTTTTTCCCCCTGAATGAAGTAAACAATTTACATACAAAATTCAATAAAATTACCAAAGTCTCCAAATTACTTTCATATTTGAGCAGTGTAGCTACATGAAACTTTCAGACTGGCCAGATAGCTCAGTGGATTACAGTGCCTGCTTAGGTAGACTCAGGGACCCAGTTCCATGCCCAGTGTACCTGCCAGCCCTGCCCCTGGGGGCGCACTGAGACAGCAACTGAGACTGGGCATGGTGGCGCACGCCTGTAATCCTAGTGCTTGGGAGGCCGAAAACAGAAGGATCACTATGAGTTCGCTCTGTGTAGTGAGACCCTGTAGACCCTGAACTAAATATATTAAATAAAGAAAAAGAAACTTTCATCATCAGTATAATTTTGAAATTGTGCCCCCCTCTGTAGTACAATTTCTGACTCATTAGGTGCTACGCTCTTCTGTCTTTCTGGCTCTGTGGTGGGCTTGGTTATTTAAGACCCTGCAGATTACAATAGAATCTCCAGAGTCCTCGAATTTTAGTGTGTAAATTTAAATTGATGATGTTAAAAACAGACCAAAGAAAATAATTGTAAATATGTATCATCAGGTAACTTTCTACCTGGTCCACTGACTTAAGTCAACCTCTACTTTTGCCAAGAACATGTTTTGAGATAATTCCTTTCTCACAGATATAAAAATCCTAATAATAATTTGTCCTCTTTTTTTTAAAGAAAAACTTATTATTTTAACTAATGTTTTCAGTCCTTGACTAGAAAAATAGCAAATAAAATAATCACTTTATATTAATGAGTAAACTCAGAATGTCTCATTCTACTAAGAGAGACAAATTTACTGAAAGACAACCATTTTCACTTCCTATATGATAATTTTTCAAGATTAAGTTAACTACATAAGTCTTTAATAGTGGAAATTGATTGACAATACAATAGTACTGCATTTGTGATCCTGGACATTCTATTAGAGTTAGATCAATATTGACAACAGTGATGAAGTCTTACTTTATGAATGGAATATAAATAATAATGATTTACAATCAATAATGCTTAGATATATTTCTGAATGTTATATTTTAATTAATAAGAGAATTTTTAAAATGCAAAGCATTCAGTTGCTACTATGTTTTTAAATGTAAGCCATCATGCTTTGTATTTATTTGTTCCAAGCTACATGTTCTCTTGGGAACATACACTTAATGAAGATAAAGAGTGTAGCAATTTTTAAAGGATTTTATTCAACAGACAAGGAAAAATGTACCAAGGTTGTCAAGGTCAAGCCAAATGAAATCAATTCATATTTACTAAGCCAAGTGATGCACTGAAATAAACTTTTGCCAATAACCATTTTTGATTTTTAGACTTAAGTCCTCTGCCTTATAATTTTATCTTTCTTTCAAAATAAAAATAACATATTTATCCTTGAGTCTATTAAAGGGTTTTAAGATTACTCAATTAGAGTATCATTTTAAAGATGACAAAAGGAGTAAAATAAAATTATTCTACAATAGTTAGTCATAACCAAGGAGAAGGCAGAAATGATCACAGGAAAACATTTCTCAGGGGATAATTTAATAACAGTGCTATGAGTGTGGGAAGCCATACACCACTGGATGATTAGGAAAGGGGTTATTAGCTAAGCCATTGTCTGAAACCCACTGAATCACTGGTCCTTTTGAAAAATGATTGGTCCTTTTTTTAATATATATAAAGATGGGTTTTAAATTTTAAGAGGAATTCCAAGCTGCAGAGCCGATGGAGAAAAAGACCACAGATCTTACATGGTTCCACATTTCTTAGGCCTAGGAGTAAGGTAAGTTGTAAAATCTTTGCTTTCACAATTTTAAGAATCCAAATCAGTAGGATAAAATATGGATGTCAACCTAAATACTTCAGTGATAAGAACTATGGCAGGAATTTTCCCATCAAAAGAAAAAAAAGATAATAGACTTCCTTGGTCACAGTGTAAGTCAATGCTGAAGTTTAATTTTACAATCCATTTCTCCAAAGTGGAAAAAACTTGAATCAGTGTATATATTTAATATTTTATAATATGATCAGACTTCTAAATGGAAATTATCTTGCATGGAGCTAGTATCATCAGATCTTTATTCTAGTGATGTTTTTGATGTAGAATTCAAGATCACTTTCATGAAAAGCACTCAGTGGGTAAACCCCTGGCAAACCTCAAAGAGCACAAAGGGGTGTTTTCCCCATGTGACCCCCCACTCAGCTACAGTGTATATTCCTAGATGAACCTTTTGGGCCAGCAAACAAGTTTGGTTTCTATAAATAGCTTCTGTGGAGAAAAGAAAAAGTTCAGTTATAAAGATTTATAAATATAAATTTTTAATTTTAAATCTTAAATACAATTACATATTAAAATATTTCCCCAACTTATACTTTTCTGACTAATTATTTTTGTCATAACTTTATTTTTATCATGATTTTTAAGTACAGAGTATTTTTAAAGCTAAGCATTACAACTCGTTTTCTAGGTATATAATCTGAAAATGGAAATTATAATTTTTCTTGGGCTCCTGGGAGCTACACTTTCTGCCCCGGTAAGTGATTTTATAATTCTTGGTCTTATCATGTAAACCTATAGCAATCTCTTCTTTCACCAGTTCTGTTTTCTCTTGTTTTATGTTTTTAGCTTATCCCACGGCACCTTATGTCTGCTAGCAACAGCAATGAGGTTAGTTTAAACTATTAAAATATCTTCCATTTTCATAAGTGAGAAGTGAGAAGACATAAGTTTGTCCTTGATGTAGCCTGGATCCTATTTTGTAGCTTTTACATGTATCTAAACAAATTCCCAAGTTTATGTCTGCCATGTCTACCAGGTTCCTTCAACAGTATTGCTTTATCCCCCTCATTTGATTGCAAATTCTTCAAAGCCAAGTACAATATCTCCTATATATTGTGCTCTAGTTCACCCAGTATGGGTTTTTATAGCTGTTTGAAAGTTAAAACAACTATATGAACCACAGGAATGGGTTAAAATTATGCAGCTTCATAGACAGTGAGAGTGACACTGAAGCCCAACTCTGCTTCCAATTCTAACCTGTCTGTACTCACTCTAATTATGTAAGCCAGTGGGGAAAATGTTTTACTTCTAATAAGAAACTGATCAATGAGCTCTGACTTTTGCTATGTTTGTAGTAAACATTGTTCTTAATGACTTTAGAGTACCTATTAATCTTGTTCTCATATTATTTCTTCTTTTCTAGTTACTTCTGAACCTTAATAATGGTCAACTTTTGCCACTGCGGCTTCAGGTATCTACCTCAAAGTCAATTTAAGGAGAATATTTTTCTACTTTTCATGTCTAATGGTATTTTGAATGCAGACAAATAAGTATCCTGATTCTAAGTCTGAAATCTCAATTTTAACAATTACAAATTCATCCTATATGTTCAAAGTTGTCCTATGTGTTCTAACCGCCATTTATTTGAAGATTGAGGTAAAACCTACAATCCAATTAACATTCATCTGTAGAGAACTTGGTATATGCTATATACTATCACAATTATGAGAAAAATCAGCCATCTTACACAAAATCCTATCCAGTTACCAGTAGTGAAGGGGACAAAAACAAGATTTGCAACTGGTCTATTGACTTTCAACCCTGTGTTCCTTTACCAACCTCTCTGTGTCTCTAATCTCTCATGACCATGGAGAATTTAGCACTATATATGTGGCTTATGACATAGGCTGCTGTCTTTTCCATAATGTAGCCCTGAATTCCAGAAACTGTTTAGATATTTCACCTCTTTCTTGCTCAAGGCTGAGTTTGAATTATTTTCTGTATGAAAGAGAAATACCATCTTTTGTGTGTTCCAGGGTCCCCTCACTTCCTGGATTCCTCCATTCTCTGGCATCCCATTGCAGCAGCAGGCTCCAATTCCAGGACAGCCTCAGGTCTCATTGTCAACTCTGGACCAGCTTGTTGGACTGTTACCAAATGAGATTTCTTTCCCAAGACAAGTTGCTTTTGCCCAAGGAACCCAGATTGGCCAGCTGGACCCCTCACAGCCTCAAACACCATCACAAACCCAACAAGGCCCTAATCCTGTAAGTCATGTCTCTTCTATCTTGCTGTTCTAAGAAGACACAGAAGCATGCATTGGATATAAATATAAATATGAATCAGCTTGAAATAAGACAGTAGTCCTAGTGAATAATTATTTTCCTATTTCACATTTCTACCATCATTAAAAGTACTTCCTTATAATCTTTAACTTTTAACATGAAAGATACCCTTCAGATCAGCTGTTCTAAAATATAGCCAGAGACAGAGTTAAAACAAATGTTAAACACAATAGCTAGAAAAATGATATCTAAAAAAGAAATTACAAGTTGCGTTAACAATAGTTCATACAGTAGATGACCTTTGTTATGGATCGCTGCTAGTTCAGGCTCACTGACTGGCTCTGTGGCAGCACAGGGATTTTCAATAACAAAGCCAAGTATAACTTTTTATATCCTTCTTCTTGTGTAGGTGATGCCTTATGTGTTTCCCTTCAAAGTGCCTCAAGAACAAGCACAGGTAAATGAGCAGAATACCATGGCTAGTCAAGAGAGCTGCTACTGACATGCTCTGTTCTCCACTTGTAAGGCTGTAGACACTCATACAATGGTGTCTGGGCTGGCATTAGTTTACTGATGCTGGAGTTCACTCAGATCTTTCAGAACAGCAAACTAAGAGACTCCGGGATCCTTGGATTTCCAGGACACTGCTCTATTGAAAGAAAAGAGCTTGCCAAGCCCCAGATCATACTTTTTTTGCATCTAAGGTACTGGCTTTTGGGAACAACTCAAAAGTAATACCATGGACTGACTTCACAAGCCCAAATTTTGTTTTGGAGGGCAATGCATTTATGTTATGAGCTATTCTGTGAAGGGCTATAAAAGCATATGGTGCACTGATTAAACTGACAAAATGATTGCATGTTACTTGGCAGTTATAAAATTCTGTTGAAAGTATTTCCATTTGGTGATGATTTCTCTTAAATAAAAGAATCTTTTAGAAATGAATGCAAACTAGTAAAATCACTATATTAATATGGAAAATGTTATCATTATTAGGATAATTAACTTATAATATCCTGGGTTCAAAGATGCAGTGCTGTATATAATTTATATTATTTATCAGCAGAGTATTAAGCTGTCATAAAAAGATGTACCACTTTACTCTTCTTTAATTAGAATTATGTAGTAATTTTATCTCACCTAACCCCATTGCAAAACAAAACTTACTTCTAGACATTATCTCATCCTATCTTATAAGCATTTGGAGTTAAATCTATGATGTATAGAATTACTTCATTTTAAGGATCAGGATATTTAGTTTTAGTGGGATTAAATTCTGAATCCCAATAAACCTAAAAAGTTGAGCTGTAATACAGTTCATTGTCCTTTCTTTAACATTGTAAAAGTGGCTCTCCACCTGTCTTTACTACAAATTCACCTGTGATAAACTGGAAAATTACAGATTAGGCCTGGATCACAAACTAGAATAATCAAACACCCCACAGTTTGCCGACAATGAAAAAGCTCAACATGTGACTTTAATTCTTAGTGAAGATTAAGAATGCCAAGAGCCAAATAGCTCAGCAGATTAAAGCACCTGCAAGCAGGCCCAGGGACTGGGGATTCAATCCCTGGGCCTGCCATGCTACCCATTCCCCAGGGGCACACTGAGATGGCAATTGAGACTGGGCATGGTGGCGTGCACCTGTAATCTCAGCTCTCGGGAGGCTGTAAACAGGTGGATCACTACAAGTCCAATCTAGTAGTGAGACCCTGAACACCCTGTAGAATCCTCCCTAAAATACAGGAAAAAAAAAAAGATTAAGAACGCCTGTATGAAATACAGATTAGAAGATGAAAAAGATGGCTATGCTGAGCTAATGGAATCTCCTGTTTATTCCTCTGTTTACAATTAGATGCACCAATACTACCCTGTTTACATGTTTCTACCCTGGGAACAACCTCAACAAACAGCCACACCATCACCCCAACAAACAGGGCCCCAGCAATTTGAGGAACAGGTATTTGATTTTAATTGTATGTGTGTGTATGTATGTGCATGTGTGTGCATGTGTGTGTGTCTATATGTGCAGGCTATACACACACATGCACACTTATCAGAGATTGAATCCAGGACTATATGTGATAAGCAAATGCAGTACTAGGGAGCTGAATTTCCAGCCTCCTCTGACAGGTTTCATTTGAGAAAATTCCAAAATGAAATAGTAACTGACTATATTCAAAGAGGAAAAAGAAAACTGCATATATTTTGAGCAAATACTCAACAGCCTGGCTTGACAGACATAAGACATAGTACTTTCTCAATATAATCACTTGTGTAGACTCTCTGATAATGAGCCACACCTATATTTTAAATGAATAAAGTTCAATGAATGGACTCTAATAAAATCAGAAACCAAAAGCTGAATCACTTTTGAAAACAAAGAAGTCTTCTCACATTTAAAATTTGCCAACATCCATCATTATTACATAAATTAATTTACATAATTTATACTGAAAATGATAAGCAAAAATTAAAGTAGCTATCTTGATAAAAGATGCCTTTAATCAATAGATCTTGAGCTAGATAGATATCAGTATATTGAATATTGTGAACCTGCAATGAATTTCAGAATTATAGTATAAGTTCATGTGGTTTATACATAGCTACTGTTGTTTTAGTTAGAATGGAAATGCCTTTATTAATCATCACCACTTTACCTGTCAAAACAATTGATCTGAAACTGAAAAGTATACTTAATTAGCCAGTAATACTAACCCAAATTGTTATATAAGTTTAGGAAGAAAAAGAACTTTAGCCTAGAAGTGATATAGTATTCAAAGGATTATTGTAACTTAATGATCATTTTTATCAGCTGAAAAATATGATGTTTTAAAAAACACTCTATATGTATCTATAGATTTAATTAATCTTTTACTATAAATTCATGACAAAATTCAGCAAAATAAACCTAATACAAAAACTTGCAGATACCATTTTATGCTCAATATGGATACATCACACAGCCAGAAGAAACTGTGAGTAAATCAATGATTCTCCTCTTTGAAAGACCCTTTCAAACTACTTATTTAATTACCACTATGACAATACGTTGTCATGTTTATGTCAATATGTCTTTCAGCCAAAGATCACCAGGAACAGTCTAGTTGAACAAAGCTGGATTTGTCCACACTTTACTGTGAGGAGACCTCATATGGGGGGAGGCCTGCGGGGTGTCTTCACAGGAGGCTCTTAGGATGAGGCTTCTCAGGCTCTGGGCTTGTTAGGTGGCTTTGGAGGGAGCTGGGGGAATGGTGGTTTGCACAGGGTTTGGTATTCTCGGAGGCAGGAATAGTTCAGTGATTGTGTATCTTAAGGATTCTAATGTAGAAGGCAAGGACAATGGACCAAGACAAAAGCCGTGATCCATTAAGAAGCAGTAGTTCTCATAGTAACTAGGGTCTGAGGATGCTTAGTGTTTTTGTGATTTGCACAGTGACTTGTTGTAGACAAGAGTATGGCTTTGTTTTGTTTTCCTAATGCTATTGTGTGCAGAGGCAACTGTCTCCATTGCTGAGGTTCTGCACAACTATTTATGCTAACCCAGCAGGGCCTAGCAGGGAATATTCAAAAGCAAACCTTCCAAAACTGAGGCAGAACTGGCTGTCCCACCATCTCCATCGTTAAAACCAGGACTTGCTTTTTTTCTCGAATCTAAACTGCTTTTGGCTTTCAAGAAAACAACTGGAGAATGTAGGAAGTGTTTGACTGCTTTAACATATCATAGTATCATTAATTTAAACCATTTTAAACTTTCTGTTTCCCAGAGTGTACCAGGAAGACAGCAGCAATCAGCCCTTGATCCACTCCTCGGCACAGTGGCTGAAACTGTCCTAATGGTAAGATTACTCCCAGCACTTTTCCAGCAACAGGAACTAAACAGCTAACACACTGTAGGCTCCTTCACTAAGGCTGCCTTTCTTATAAATTTCATCTTGAATCTATTACTAATTGCTGTTTGTTCCTTTAGTAATCATTTTTAGTCAAGATTTACTCAATTTCTCACATATTTGTTGAGGCTGTTAGATGTTGCTTGAAAGCAAATATTAAGAGAATTATATTGGAATAAATTCATAAACTATTAAAATAGGTTATGATCTAGAAAACAAAGTTACAGCTTGAATCTTGTCAGCCCCTAAATTTTTTTTTTTTTTTTTTTTTTTGGCAGAACTAGGGATTGAACTCAGGCCCTTGCGCTGGCCAGGCAAGTGCTTATTCTACAGAGCTATCTCCCCCACCCTAAAAAAGGCAGAAGGACATTTTTTTTTTTCTCCAAATGCTTTCAGGGCAGGTTTGGTTGGTTTGAGTTGTGGGGATTGAACCACAGCAACCTGAGCCTGACTGCTTTGTGAAGCAACCACTTAAAGAACTGAGCTAAGGGGCAGGCCCCCTATGTCTTGAATCTAATGTTTACTTTGAATCTCAATCTATATATTCTTCCCAATTTTGACCTATTTGAATGTGTCACCATTTTATTTACATACCAATTCTCTCTAGCCAGGAGAAGGAGTGATACCATATTTACAAAAAGAACTGGTGAACTTTAGGCAAGACAAAGCTGGAGTGCTTATGCATTCAACTTCACCCAAACCGAGCACTGCCAATGTTTTCACGGCTGGTGTAGACCCCACTATTGCTTCTACGCTTCCAGAAGAAAAGGTAGAGTTACAAGATCATTTTTTGTAAGAAACTGTTTCCTAATGCAAAAATATAAGTTAGTTCTTAATTTATAGGACTGAGTTGTGGAAATAATAGTACAACTAATGATATAATCAAACATATTGTCTTAGCCCTTGATAAGATGGCCAACAACTGTTTTTGATAATCAATTAATCAGAATATAACTCAATTTTAATTTGATTAGAACTTCCTATGAATGTCCTTTTCTTCTAGGCCAAGACTGACAGCCTAAGAGAACCGTAAGATGGTGTCCTAACTATCAAGAGTTTTTGGTAAGTACTTGCCAAAAGTCAGGCTCTAAAGTATTGATGGATAATTATTAACAAACTGATTATGAAGGAACAAGCTGGTGTTTATATCTACCTAAAAATGATTATTAAATAGTTTAACAATTTTAAGATAAAAATTAACTTTTGAGAATCATAAATTTGGTCTCAATTCTAACAACACAAACACTAACTACATTAGGTGCATATAAATGACACTCAATATTCCATGTGGAATTGGTTTTCCCAAATCATCATTTCCCTTTGCAAGAGAAACAGTGCAGTAATCCCAGTACAAGTGCTAACAAAAAATCCCAAATTATAGACAAATCTCATAGCAACAAGATAATTTCAAATTTAATAGCATAAGTAACAACCTATCTAAATGTGCTTGGCTGGGTGTTGAAGCTACAGTGGGAGTCTGCAATAGTGCTAAAAAGTAAAAACACACATTAAGAAAGCAAATAACAAGACCTGAAGGGAACATGGAAAAGAAAGATTTTTGAAATCTCTTCCTTGCTGTCCCTGAGTCTCTTCTAACTCCTCCTATGAAAAAGAATTCTCCAGATGATACTAGTCTAATAAGAAACAACTGGGCACGAACAGCCTGAGGACCTCTTCAGAAGTCTCACTAATACTATCATGCAATGCAAGTCAGTTCAGGTTACTTCATCAGAAATTAGAAATAAATACTAAAGGATTTCAGCACAGTATAACCTTTACTCAATATAAAACAAACACCAGCAAAAGCAAACTTTCTATTTAATGCACAGTTTATAAAACATCTATGAAAATATTTCCACAATTAAAAAAAGAAGCTGCAAAATGTAAACAGAAAGCCCTAACAGTCAATGAATATAAATATATAATTATTCTAATGTTGAAAATTAAAACTCAATAAGTATATATGAATAATTTGTCCTACCATACATTTTCTACATACATTTAGAAAAAGAAACACTCTATTAAACCAAACAGCATGTCAAATAAAAAAATATTTCCACAAATCAATCTAATGGGACTAAAATGTTTCATCTTCTTTTTCAGAGAAAAAGATGTACAGTGTCTTGGATATCATTTTAAACTGTTTATGTCCTAATGCTAATATCAGTGCTTTGAAATCTACAAAATGTTTTCATTCTTCTACTGAATTTACCTTTTCTTATGATATTATAGTCTTTCAATATGTCACAGAAAAATAATAGTCATGTAGTAATAGCTCTTATTTTCACAAAACTGTATTTCTTTTCAAATATTCTATTACTGCATAATCTGGAATATAACAATATTGAACACAAAGCTAGTATCATTTAATTTAATTGGGTAATTGTATTGTATAATGGATCCCTCTATAATATTGTGTCATGCATGAGAATAAAGATATACTGTCAATGTATTGATGATCAATGTGGTGATTGTCACTGATGTACTACAATATGTGCCAGCTGTCACATGCCATTGTCTCAGTATGTTTCCCAACCCCACTCACTCAGATTCCTTCTGCTAGATTCCTATGAAAACCAAATACTTTTGACATGAATTTTGAGGTATAAGTTCTCAATATCACAGAGCTACAGAGAGATGATTATTCTCATGCCAAAGAATCAGCTCCAAGGAAAACAGGTGCTCATTTGGGGTGGCAGAATCCTAGACAGAATGGGGCATAGATGTTGGATTTCATCAGATTTGGCTCTGAAAAGAAAAAAAGCCAGCTAAACAATTTCAGTTTGCTTGGATTAGAAATAATAATACTCAATCTTTAGAAATTCTCAAAAGACTGCTTAAAATAATGTATAAAAGACATCTGGCTCATACAAAGCACACAAAGAATGTTAATTTTTCTCTCTCAAATATTTTCAACTTATTTTCTCAACAATGGACCTTTAGCTAAGATTCTGAAAAAGCAGGAAAACTGTCATTTAATATCTTTACATATTTACAATTTTGTGATACTGTGCATACATGTGCATAAGAGGAAAAATGAATAAATGAATGAATAAACCTATGTCAGATGGCTTTAATACAATTTGGTGAGTATTCCAGGATTCACAGTTGAATACAATTCCAAAAATCTTATCTTTTCTAGCATTTAATAGTGTTATAACTTGCAATCTGCTACTTGCTTCTGTGGAAGAGTAACCCAATAATCACCTGTTACACTTTCATTTTATTTTTTTATCCTTTTCTCTAAACTGATGTGTTGAATAAATGCAATTTTGAGTCGTTGACTGATCTCTTAACATGGAAATTGTAGTTGAAACGCCAAGATATTTGATAAAATTGGCTAGTCAGCAGCTAGGAATATTGCATCCCAAAATCCCAAGCATTCACACAATCATTTTTAAAATTCCAACGTAATGAAAATCAAGTGCTTAGAATACATCCTAAAGCAGAGCAAGTATTCAAGGTTTTCCTTTATGGAGGAGGAGGAGGTCAAACTAAATAGTGGAAACTAGGGAGGAAAAGTGAATATGACTCAGCTTTTCTGTTAAAGGCCAGAAAATGGAGAAATCAGGGAAATCTTCAAAGCTCAGTATCAAACTATAATGAACCCAAGAGTTTAGCAATATCAGGGCATACAGCAATAAAAACTTAGAAAAATGGGGTTTAATAGATAACATTACTGGAGCAGTTTAACTGGACTAAGGAATGAGGGGTGCCTGGTAAAACTATTTCTGGGTGTTTCTGTGAGGATATTTTTGGAAGATATCAGTTACTGAATTAGTAATCACCAAAGTGAGAGAACATCACCCAATCTTTGAGAACTTAAAGCAAACACAAAGCTGGAAGAAGAGCACCTGGTTCCCAAGCTTTCAGACTTGGACTGGGACTCACTTGGGATTGGGCTGGGACTCCCCAGTCAGCTTGCATGGACCTCCTGCTTGTAGCAGGCAGATGGTGGGCCTTACTTTGTATCATGATATGAAATAATCTCTCATGATAAATGTCTTGTCTCTATCTATCTCTCTATATAATTGGTCCTGTTTCTCTGAACACTACATTAAGAAAGTACTCAAGAATAAATATTTTCTTTGAAACAATATAAAAGTAAGCAAGCAGAGTTTATTTTAAGCAGTAATAACAGGACCTTAATACATTGGATAAATTTAACTGACCTAGCTGAATGTCTCAAGGCACAAAAATACATTACTGAATCTTTGTCAAGACTCAATCTGTTATAGAAAGATGTTAAATTTAAGTTCTATTTAGGTAACCTTTTACAATACCTAGTGTCTGAATAGAGTAACCACTATGAATGAAATATTCACTTGTTTTCAAACTATTTCTTTACTTATAAATCCCATTTTATTTTTAAAGAATACAAAATAGTGATATAAAAAGCATTAAAAAGGGTACAAGATTTCACTAAACAAAGCAATAGGAATTCATCAATGGTTACTGTATTACATAATGCTATCTTCAAATTAGTTGTTCAGATTACCAGACATAAACATGCATATCCCACTTTATTCTTGCCCACAGGAAAATTTACACTTAATACATTCAATACATTATATACAGCAATAAATGTATGTTTCTATAATTATTAACTATAGGTTTTTATTGATTATTCATACACCTTAGCTATATATAATGATCATATTCATTATAAAGAATTTGCACTCATATATATGATACATTATGATTCCTTTTTTTCCCAACCTCCTCTCCCTTCATTCCATCTTCCTCTGCCTAAGTACAAAGCTTTGTTTCAATCCTATTCTTCTTTATACTCTTTTATTTTCCTTTTCTCTTCCTTCCTTTCTCCTTTCTCCTTTTTGCTGCCCTAGTTCTTTTCTTTTGAAAAATTTCTTCCAGTTTCACAATATCTATTCTATATATTGGTCCTCATTTGCTCTTTCAGTTTCTCATATCATGTAGAAAATGTAATGTTTATATATGTAAGTCCTATTTATTTCACTTAAGAGTATGATCTCAAGTTGCATCCATTTACGTAGAAATGCCTCAAATTTATCCTTCTTAATGGCAGAGTACTACTCCATTACATGAAAAACCATACATCTTCTTTATCATTCTTCAGTGGATGGCATTTGGTCTGTTTTCAAGATTTAGCTGTTATAAACTGTGCTGCTATAAACATGGGTGCACATATATTGCTGTGGTATAATGATTTTCTTTATTTTATTTTACTTTATTTTAAATTGAAAAGGATTTTTTTGGGGGTGCTGGCTAAGGCTACCTTACAGGTAGGTCTGGTAAGGCATGAGGATCTGGGGATCGAACTTCAGTCCCCTGCACTTGCCTGGGTTTGCCCCAGCAGGGGCTTAAACAACAGAGCTAACTTGAAAGCCCCCTGTATTATTCTTTTATTCGTTGTGAAAGATATCAACAATAAAGATCACTGGGTCAAACAGACCTGTAATCCTAGCTTTTTAAGGAATCTCCACACTGATTTCCATAGTGGTTGCACCAGTCTACATTCCCACCAGCAGTAAAGAAAGGCTTTTTTTTCCTAAAAGCACCTAAAGCATTTGTTGGTTGATTTCTTGATAATAGTCATTCTTTCTGGAGTGAGGTTAAACTCAGTGTTGAGAGGGCCAGGGAGATGGCTCAGTGGAATAAGTACTTTCTTGGCAAGCACAAGGGTCTGAGTTTAAGCCCCAGTTCTGTCAATAAATAAATAAATAAATGAATAAACAAACTCAGTGTTGTTTTAATTTGCATCTCTCTAGCCAATGATGTTGAATTCTTTTTTTTAGTGCTGAGTGTTTTATTTCTTTTTTAATTTTTATTTTTTAAATTAATTTTATTGAGAAAAAAATTACAGGGGGCTGGGGAGATGCCTCAGTAGAACAAGCACTCGCCTGGCAAGCACAAGGGCCTGAGTTCAAACCCCGGTTCCACAAAAAAAAAAAATTACAATGTGACAACTTCAAAACAAGTTGATAGGAAAGTTACAACAATTAATACATTCAATATTGTTGTCTTTGTAGTAGTCATTCATAGCACGAGATGCAGACATGATATCCTGTCCAAACACTATT